CCCCAGAAGTGTTTGGACACTTAAGATACAGTTAAAAAAAAAAACTGAAAATGTTAGTTTTGAGAAAAGCTCTAGTATCATTTTGCAGATGACATTTGATATTTTGTATGTAATGCAATGAAAATCAGTGAATTTTTACGGGTGAATTACCTGCCAACACTGGTTGTATAAATGCAATGCATATGTTATTTGATTGTTATTCAATAACTTTATGTATATATATTCTCAATGTTTTATTTGAGTTAAGGTAAAGGCGTTTCCTATTTTCCAGGTGTGTCTGATAGATCCCGGTTGTTTCCGTGACATTGATGAGCTGATCCGCTGTGAGACTAAAGGGAAGGGGACGCTGGAGGTGCTCAGTCTCAAAGATGTGGAGGAAGGAGACGAGAAACTAGAATAACCTGCTCATCTAACCAACACATTAAACTATTGCTGACTCATTTTATATGGAGAGCCTTTTTTGATGAGTTATAGCACTCTATGACCCAACTGCTAGCAGTATATTCACAGCTGGGACAGGCTTTAGTAACAATACTAAAGATATGCTATGCTATGAAAGATATGCTGGAGCACTGCCTAGCCAATATGCATGAGAAAAGTATTAAATTGGCAAAACGGTAACGGCTCATTCAGACCAGAAACAATAACTATATACAAGGCATGATTATTGTTCATCAGCATTTTTAAAGTGATTCCTGTGATACCGTTCCTCTGTGACATTATTGCTTTAGTTGTGGTCTGGATTTTATGGAAGCTTGTTTCCACCACTGAATAAAAGCAAAAAAGGTCATTGTGACTTTTTATCTCACACTTCTGACTTTGTTTCTCAGAATTGCTTGTTTATAATCTTGCAATTCTGAGAAAAAAAATCAGAATTGTGAGATAAAAAGTCACAATTACCTTTTTTACTTTTATTCAGTGGCGGAAACAAGCTTCCATAGGATTCTGCCATAATTTAAAATTATAATTATATATATATATATATATATTTAATATTGTTATCATTATAGATATTGTCATTGGTGTGAATGGATCTAAAAACAGTAAACACAACTATAAGCGAAGTGTACTTGTAATACTTCATTATACTTCTCTTAAGTATATATTATCTCTAAATAAGTATAATTTTGTTATGCTAAAGTACATAAAATGTAGACTGAAAGTATACTCTTATTTTTAATTAAAAAGAAGTACTGTATTCTAATAGCACACTGGAATAAACTTTTGTACAGAGTGGTTAATCTTTTAATTTGCAATCTTATTTTTTTACATTAAAAAATAGCTTTAATTTCAAACACATTATGTTTGATTGCATAAAAATATACTAAATTTACTCCATAATTAACTATCAACAAGGAATAATAGTGCGAAACTACTGTTTTCAGTAGCTTGGCTGTATTTAAAATAATGCAGCTTTTGTAGAAAAAAACCCCCCTAAAACGTAAAGAAAAAAAAAAGTACTCGGTTACTCACGTAACCTCGGTTCCCTGAGATACGGGAACGAGTACTGCGTCTTGCTTAAGACGCTAAGGGGAAAACTTCTTTTTCTCTGAATACTAAAGACTTTTTCAATCACGCAGTGAAACTGCACGGCCAGTGGTTCGTGCAGTGTATTAAAAACGGAGCTGCATGAGCCTATGGCTCGTATCTCAGGGAACCGAGGTTACGTTAGTAACCGAGTACGTTCCCTATCGATACTTCACTCGTACTGCGTCTTGCTTAAGATGCTAAGGGGAACCAGTACAATCCCGCCGTATTATGTTAGAGGAACGACCAATGCTTGAACTTGCCTTGAGCACCAAGGGCCCAAGTAATTGTAGGGAAGCCCCACAGGAAGCGACAGGGCCAAACTCACAGAGGTCGGCCCGGCGCTAAGTAATCGTTCCCAGAAAAATCATACCGCCTCGAAACCCAGTGGGGGCCAAGAGCGTACCGAGAAGGCAAATGCCTGATTTAGCACTGGTTTTACTAGAGTAAGTCCATTAAGCAGAAAGAACCCGAGCTTGTAAAGCCAGGACGTCCAGATTATAAAACCTGGTAAATGTGGACGGCGAGGCCCAGCCGGCCACCGCACAAATCTCTGCAATGGAAACTCCGCTAGACCAAGCCCAGGAAGAGGCAATGCCTCTCGTAGAGTGGGCTCTTACTCCCATGGGGCAATTGAAGGCCCAAAGAAGAGTATGCTAGCTTGATAGCGTCAATAATCCATTTGGAAAGTCTCTGCTTCGTGACCGGAGACCCTCTGGTGCGGTCACCGTCTGAATGGGGCGGAACACTCAATGCATATCCTCAATGCCCTGACGGGGCAGAGTAGATTTAGCTCTTGGTCCTGCTCCGAAGGAGGAAGTGCCGAAAGAGCTATGACCTGTGCTTTAAATGGAGTCGAGAGCACTTTAGGTACATAACCATGCCTCGGCTTCAGGACGACCCTTGAGTCGTTGGGCCCGAATTCGAGGCAGGTAGGTCTCACAGAGAGCGCCTGCAGATCACCCATACACTTTACCGATGCTAACACCAGTAGCAGAGCGGTTTTTAGCGTCGGGACGAAGGTCAACAGACTGTAGCGGCTCAAAGGGAGGGTTCTTCAGAGCCCTCAACACCGTAGGCAGGTCCCACGTAGGGATGGTGACAGGGCGAGGCGGGTTGAGCCTCCTAGACCCTTTCAAATATCGAACAACTAGGTTGTTCCTGCCCACTGACTGGCCAGCTATAGGAGCAGCTATAGGGCATTTGTAACAACGCCGGAAATTTGCTCTAGAAATTTGCTCTTATAGTCGCCGGATAGCGGCAGGGGACCGGGAGACCACGCTGCTGCAGACGCCGAAGGCAGCTGAAGAGTGGCGAAGTCAGCCGAGCAGAGAGGGGTCTTGATCTGCTGCGAGGCTTGTTCACGGCGAAGGCTTCTTAGTCTTGTAGTGCGAAGATATGTAATCGTCGCTGAAGGAGAAGAAATCTGAGGATCCTATGGCGAAGTGCACGCTTATATAGCCAGATGCCCTGCCCAAATTGGCGGGCTCTGCATACTGCATACTAACATATATACTGACAATTAAGTGCACATTTTTGAGCATGAAGTTTTATTAAGTTTTTCACCTTTTGTATTTGTATTTTATCCCGTTAGTTTTGTCTTTCCAGTTTTGAACATTAACATTTTTATTCAATCAATGTTCTGCATTAATAACCGACACAAGCAATCATATATAATCTTTTAATATATAAAAAGAAACATTTAAAAAATAAGTTTTGTTTCACCATTTAACAAGCATTTAACTCTTTCCCCGCCAGTGTTTTTTTTTTAAAGTTGCCAGCCACCACCAGCATTTTTGATCATTTTCACAAAACTTTCATGGCCCCCACAATATTTTGTTATATGAATAGCATGAGCATGCAATATGTGACCCTGGACCACAAAACCAGTCATAAGGGTGATTTTGGCCGTGCAGTTTCACTGCGGGATTGAAAAAGGCTTCAATATTCTGAGAAAAAGGGGTTTTCCCCTTAGCGTCTTAAGCAAGACGCAGTATGAGTGAAGTATTGATAGGGAACTGCATTAGTGTCAGATTATATACTGACAATTCAGTGCACATTTTTGAGCATGAAGTTAAACATTTTTACATTAACATTTTTATTCAATCAATGTCCTGCATTAATAACTGACACAAACAATCATATATCATCTTTTAATATATAAAAAGAAACATTTTTAATTTTAATTATTATTTACAATTTACAACAGTACATGTAATAACAGTAAAACATTGTCAATCATAGAAAATGTATAAAATAGCACACCTGCGTTTGTAAAATGAAGATGAGCTGGGACTGGCAGACTGTTAGGAGCTTTACATTCACTCAGGGACTAGAGATGTGTTCAACACTGTTATGTGGAATACATGAGACATGACGAGCATACGCCTGACAGCATTCAGATATCAGTGAAACACAGCAGAAAGCATTGAGGTGAAAGCCTTAGAAAAGCTTTGCTTAGTCGAGTTAATTAAGGTCACTGCTTCCTAAAAAGAACGGTCTAGAAAAAAAGGCATATTTGATGTGATGTACCTGTAGTTCTTCAGAAGCTATTGGTGTGTGTTTGAGTGAGTGTGTGTGTGTGTGTGTGAGTGAGTGAGTGAGTGAGTGAGTGAGTGAGTGAGTGAGTGAGTG